TAACTCATTAGAAAATAATAAAATATGAGCACGTTGTAATATTGTGTTTGTATTTAATAGCAAGGAATCTGCAGCTAGAGAGAAATGTACTGAGAAATTTAAGAAAATACAAAGAGAAAATATTTATCTAAAGAAAAATGGGCTTCTTACAAATAAATTGTACAAAATTTGAAACATAAATTCGGTCTCAACTTAAATGCTGAGATTGATTTAATGGCTAAAGCAGAAGTTATGGAGTAGGACATAAATCTTTAACGAAAAAGAACAAACAGAGCACGTATTATTTATTATACACTGCATGCACCTTTACGTAAATTCGCATTGAGTTTACACTATTATTCATCAGCTGCGTATAAATACGTTAGAGAATGCTAGAAAAGTAATAATAATGATCTTTGAAAATAAATGCATATTTTTATATTTTACATATTTACCTTTTAAAATATTAAATTAAATATCATCAAAATGTAATTCTGCCATAATATTATGTTATATTATATTAAATTAACGCATGTGCAAAATAAATAACCATTAAAATGTACTCGATATAATTACCAATACAATCTAAATAAACAATTACTTATTACATACTGATCATTCTATCTAAGTATAATCTTTGATGACAAAAATTGCGCATGCGCGCTTCTACTATTTATCGCACATGCGCAAAAACATAGAGTAGCGCACATTTTTTGCTTGAAATAGCTTCTCTAGTACGTAGTACATTATAACTCAATGTGGGCGATTCACACCGCGGTCCGAATGGCCCCATGGAAAGAAAGCATATGAGCGATTTTTTCAATGTTACCCAACACTAAGATATTCACCTGTATTATATAGGCAGATTAGAAATATAAATTGTACAAGGACAAACATCCAGAACCGGGATAATTATTTGAAGCCCATACAAATATTTGTTTCGTGCCGGATTTTATGTTTACTTTATTTCTATTGTGTTATTTTTTATTATTACAATAAATAATTAAATACGTATTATAATAAAACTTCTCCATGTTAGTCTGATATTTATAGGTCTCATGCTCGTAAGATTTGTGCCAATTGTTTTACTTGTCTAACATGTCCTAAAAGGCGACAAATCAGATATTAGGTTACAAGTGTGTAAGCGATAGGCTATCGTAACCAACGATCAATTGTTTTACAAACATAGTTTTTGGCTGAACGTGATTCTACTAGCTTGCTGCTATTTGGACCATCCCTACTCTCTTAAGGGAGTATAAGCGTGACGTATATGTATAATAGTACAGAACAGAAACTTTTAATTTTGTATAGATTATAAATAATACTTATTGTAAGTCACCTTTTTGTTTAACTTATCACTAGTTTGGACAAAAACCTCTGTCCTTTCCGAAAAAAACCGGTAGAACCAGCAAGAAATCCAATGGAATTTAAAAAAATAACAGCTAACAATCATATATATTACACAATTAACAATACAAAGCAAATTAGAAATAGCTCATTCCTAGTAGAAATTATCATCCATAAGTTCCATAATATTATTATAAGCCACACTTAATATGAACTTTGTTAAATAAGGTTTTTGAATTTTATGAGGAGGTAAAATTTTGTATATTTTCTGGTATTGTACTTTTTTACTGGAATTTAAAAGCGGTAAAATACATTGCCCCATGAATGAATTATTGCTTCGGTAGAGTCGAATAACCGGTGTTACTAGCCTGTGTCTATTCCTGGTATTTACAGAACGAATATCACTCATTCTTTAGAACTACTTTTGTTTTTGTATACATACATTACATTTGCATAAATATATTGAGAAGCTAAAGTTAATATATTAATTTCCTTAATTTTCTGTTTAAGCGACTGTTTTAAATTTGAATCATAGATTGCCCTTATGTCCCTCTTCTGTAAACCAAATATAATTGCAGTGTCAATCGTGTGTGTAGCAATATAAGATACAACATTATGCTATGTAAATAGCTAAAGTAACCTAGTCTAGCTGTTTCAACACTGGTAAGATTTCTTAAATTTGTACAGCATATGCTGCAGAACTAAGCCTGCTTGTTTGTTCTGATATATTGGAGCCTCATTGAAGCTTTGTATCTAGTGTGATTCCAATAAAAATGGTGGTATCGACAAGACGCAGCTCTTCCTCATTTAAATTATATTAGTGTTTAGATGTTTGACATTAAGAGTTGTGGAATTTCATACTAAATGTTATTAGTGCCATAATGATAATTATTAACATTAAACCAATTTACTAATTTAGTTTATTTCGTCATATTATAGTAATTTTCGTTTTAATTTGAACGTTAATAAAGTAGCATCAGCAAAGACTATTATATCATGGTTGTCCAATGCTATGTAAGGTACATCATTAATATATACAAGAAAAAGAAGAATTGATCCCTGAGGCATGCCTCGACCTGGAAGCACTCATAATATTTATGACAACTTTTTGCGTTCTGTTACTTAAATACGAAACATTAATCTAAGAGCATCACTTCCTATACCGTAGTGTTGAAGTTTCATGGTGAACACAATCGAATGCTTTAGATCACAGAATATACCCAAAGCATGAATTCTCTTACGCATTGAAGATATATTTAATCAGCTCATCATCAGCATCAGTTATCGAGTGACCACTTGTGAAACCGAATAGATTTTCATGGAGTGAATTATTAACATTAATATAATTAACAGTTGATCAAGAATTTTTTTTTTAATTTTTACTAAGTGTTGGCAGTACATAAATTGGCTGGATCCAATTTACTTCCAGATTTGAACAAAATTTTCACTTTACTATGTTTCTTTGAATCAGGAAACTCACCAGATTCGATACTGGTATTAAAATAGCCAGTTGAAGTGCAATAAGTATATGCAAATAAGTGCGTCTATAATAGACGCATCTATTATAGACGCACTTATTTTAACACAACATCATCAACAATCCCCCACAGATCTGCGGTTTTTTTAATGTCAATAGTTTTAAAATCTTCTTAAACAACTTTTGATAATAGTTTATGAAATACAAAATTATTTGCAAACGCATTTACATTTTTTTAAGTAATGATTCGGCGACGGCAGGAGAATAATTCAGTGACTCCGGATCGGAATATTAGTAAAATATTTCTCCAAAACCTTTGCAATATCCTGATTTAATTTTTTGTTTATACGAGAGGGAGCAAACGAGCATACGCCTCACCCAATGGTAAGTGACGACCGCCGCCCATGAACAACTGCAAAACCAAGGGAATAGCAGGTGCATTGCCGACCTTTTTAAAAAGGAGTAAGCTCTTTTCTTGAAAGTCCCTAAGTCTTATAGCTTGTAGTCGGAGCATGCACCATCTACAACGACCTAGATACTCCGATCTGCAAGAAAGCTGGTGATCCAATTGCACAATTTCTCGTGAAGCCCATAGGAAGGGAGTTTTGATAGAAGGGCGTTGTGCGAAACCCGATCGAAAGCCTGCGCAATGTCCAAACTAACGGGCAATGCCTCCCCCTTGGATGCTACTGTCTCCGCCCATCTATAAGTCAGGTAGACTAGAAGATAACTAGCTGATTGAACCCGAAGAAAACCGTATTGGCGGTTACTAATCAGCTGGTGATCCTCAAGGTACCGCATGATTTGGCAGCTTAATTAAATTGGTTAATTTGTTGTTACAACTTAATCGGCAGTTTTAATGGCGAGACTTGACCTTCCCAGTTTCAATATCAATTATACCCCTTGTAATTTTAATTTTATTAGAAGCCGTCTTAATATATTTCATCCCCTTTTATTCTCTTAAGTACTATTACTTAATACGAAATCCTAAAACACGTATTACTTAGTTTCTAATTAAAAGCTTATAATAGTATAATCAAAGATGTAACTAAAACATTGCAGAATGTCAAACTGCCTTCCATCCTCTTAATTTTACCATCGTTAGGCTATAATTGTCAAAAATATAAATATAAAATTTACTCTCAAAATGTGGGTGAAAAGTTTGTATGAAAAATAGTGTATTCAATTCAAAGAAGTATTTGTACCAATTTTCAATGTAAAAAAATCGTTTAAAAAATTTCTGCATACAAATATGAAATCACCCCGTTAAATAAAAAGAGTCGTACAAACTGCAACACCCACCTATTTTACCTTCTATTGGCTTGAATTTTTCATAATCCTTTCTTAGTGGATGTCTACGTAAAGAAAGCAATTGTTCCAATTACTCCTTTCGACGTTCAGTGGTTTGAATTATGCGTCTAAACAAATAATTTTCATACAATATTTTAACTCACATTTAAAAGATTAAAACCCAATTAATTTGAACCAACTATATTATTACTTATATAAGGTAAGCGAAGTTCTTTTCGACAGTTATTTGGGCTATATATAGTTTTAAAATAACACACAATTACAAAATAACTCAAAAAGTACATCGCCGCAATCATTTCGTAGTTCGATCAGTGCTCTGTAATACATCTTTTGCTAGAAAATTCTTCACGTTTTTTGACCGTATTTGTGTAATTACATTACACAAAAATAATTCTATTTATGAAATTAACAAAATGGAAATTTAAAAACATACTCTTGAAATATCTTACAACTCTTTCATACACTGAATTACATTTACTTTAAACATTTACTTAAAATAGTCTCATAAATATACACAAACATAAAATAGACAATAGATATGCCCTTATATATATATATATATATATATATATATGTGTGTGTGTGTGTGTGTGTGTTTTCCCCATCCATCTCAAAAGTGCCCGACGTGCATAACAAAATTTTTACTTCAGAAGATTTGACTTCAAAAAAAAAAACACTATTAATTATTATGTCTCTACAAATTTTGACACCCTCTGCCCCTAGTACGAAACAAATATAGGTATGGCATATAAGTGATTAATGTATGTCCTAATGCAGTTCATGTTAAACTACATGAATTGTAAAACTAAGATAAATAGAAATACTTTTGTAAGATTTATGAAGAAGGCAAAATCAAATAATAAAGATATATAATCCCAAACATTACCAATTCCTGTCGATATCACTTGAAATAGGATTGTCATCTTGCCGGCATCAATTTTTTTGTCTAATAATTCACAACTTTACTTCATTTACTTTTTATCCAATCTCAGATTTCTTGAAGCACAAATCCTCAGGTCGCTTGAGATTATGTGCAAGCCCTTTGTAATACTTGGCTTGTCTACTAATAAACTAGTATTGATTTAAACCGTCTTTAGATGAAGATATTTTAATTTATTATGTAAACAAAAATCGCTGGTTACGGATTAAGAGATAAGTCTAAGGAATGTACTCATCCCAGACCAATAAACATATAAAGACTAAGTGGTCGTAAATATTCGCGACGAAATAAGTAAAGACTAGTGTTGGCCTTGTGTGTGTGACTCGGTGTAATACACGGTGAGATTTGCGCATGTGTGCTAGAGAAAAATGTTGTAAGCATAGTGCTACGACACCACACTGCAATTAATATTATTTTTGGTGAAAGTTTATATTAAAACAGTGTTTTATTTATGTCTTAATTGTATGAAATGAGAGATAATTTAGTTTAACAAGTATAATCTCTTATTATCAAATTAATAATTATCTTAGATAACTTATTTATGACAATTAATAATTCCCCTTCTATTGTGTAATTTTTTAAGTTTCTAACGTTAGCGAGAACTTTTAAGTACCATAGAATTTAATGAAAACATTTTTATAAAAGTGTTTTTGTTATTTCTTTATTAGCATTTTTGCTTACAGAACTCGAATCGAGCAGTCGTAAAAGCTATGTTGTGTTTCTATTATGTTTCTGCTATTTTGTAATCTTACTGTAGTAAATAACAAATTATAATTAAAAACATTTGAGAGAAATCATGTCTAATACATACGAAAATATACCTTTCAAACGGAGCACCATTACACCTCGGAGTCCACCCAGCACGCCTCAACCACCACACCATGATGCTTAGTCGGATTAATTTTTAGCCACCAGTGAAAAAAAAATTGGACGACCTCATCGAACAGTGCCTATATGAAGTTTGACATACTGCCCAGGAGGGAAAACTAAACTCTGAACAAAAGCTGACAATCAATTCTCTGTTGGCAGTACACTAACAATCGGTGAAGCGAAAGACTATTTTAATGAACACGTCTCTTGAAGCACTGAGATAAAAACAAGACCTAATGGAATGCCTTAATGATTTCAGAAAATCTCTTAAGAAAACAATTCAAAAAGTTGTGCCAAACCGCCGCTACAAAAAAATATTCTTTGCTGATATGATAAAGGCAAACAAAAATAATAACTTGAGCCCCAAAAAATTCTTTAATTTACATAGAGAATAAATTAAAAACTAGTGAAAACACTAAATCTCTTCTACAATAAATTACACGCCTCGAACAATTAAAAAAAAATTGCTCGTAAGAGGACTACGTAAAACAAACAAATGGAGGCGTTATTATCAACACTGAAACAAAGGACAACATTGAGAAGCTAGAAGCGGCTTAGTAGTTCCAGTCTAAAGGTGACCTATAAAAGAAGACCAAGGATTATAGTCTTAGGTATTACCTGCCGCCCTTAGCGTTTATGAACAAAGTTTAGCCTATAAGCTCTATAATTTAACGCGGGAATATTTACTATCCTCTATAAAGACATAAATCGAGTAAAAAAGAACATTCATGCAATTTTATTTTGGGATTGCCAGCTGGCATCAGAAATACACTTATCAAACAGGAGCGAGTCTTCACAAAATAGGTGTCGTGCCCAATTCGAGACTTCTTTCTTGTGACCAGGTGCATCAAATGCCAACAGTACATGCAACAAGGACCTGCCGGGTAACCATCGACTCGTGAGGATATTGTAGTTAATTAGGACATCAGTCAAATGCTTTCATTGAGAAAGTGTGCAACATGCCTTTGTTTCAAAAACCGAACAACCACAAAATAGGTGACCCTGAATGCCTGGCTTAGGAGACGGCTGAAACTAGGTACATTAATTCCATAAATAATAATGAGGGCACCTAAGAGCACCACCGTTTATCTTCATCTTTTTGACTTAAATTACAAGTTTTAGGAGGATGAGTCGCTTGCGTCCGTAGGCTTCGACCACCTAACCCTAGCCGCAACCTACACGTGTCCCTCGGGTGGTGCTAAACAAGCGACAAAGCCGAAAGAACAGATTCGGCTCCTCGCCGTGTGGTAGCGGCGTAAAAAATACCATCCCCTACTTTCGAACCATGAAGCAAAATATTTATGAAAAGGCCCTGAGTTCCCTTTGCCCCTTTAATGGGGCAGGGGTGCGAAGAATCTCCGGTAGGAAAACCGGCAATGAGGTTAGCCACCCGTCACGTTCTGACCCCGGTAGGGGCGAAAGTGGATTGTGGAAGCCCGTCTGGCTACGTTGAATGTATGTGGAGCAATGAATGTTAAGATGGATGAAGTATGTGATATGATGTATGATAAAGGAATAGACGTGTTATGTGTAAATGAGACGAAACGGAAGGGAAAGGATGCCACTACACATGGCATGTATGCCACGTACTGGTCTGGTGTAGACGAGACCGAGCGGGTATGCCAGGGAGTCGGTATCATCCTTTCCGAAAGAATGGGTCATTGTGTGAAAGAGTATGAATGTGTAAACCCGAGACTGCTATGGATACGAATGAAAGTGGGCTTAAAGAAGTTGTTTGTTCTAGGGGTCTACGCCCCATACATGTCTAAGCCCACTTATATCCGAGAGCAGTTATGGGAGTTGGTAAGGATGGTGCTAATGAAATGCAAGGGTAATGAAAATATTGTGATATTAGGAGATTTTAATGGAAAGGTTGGGGTGAGGAGACTTGGTTATGAAAGGATATTGGGAACGTTTGGTAATGAAAGTATAAATGAGAATGGTGAAAGTCTCCTCACCGTATGTGTGGAAAATAATCTTTTTGTGACGAACACTTTCTGTCGTCATAAGAAGATTCACGCGTAGATAGCACGCGAAGCATGATTGATTAAAAATTGAAAATTTACTAGAACCTATACGTGACGTTTGCTAATTATGAGTGCTTTATGTCTGTTAGGAGGTAGCTGTAAATAATATTAAGAATTAATAATTAGTTATTATTAATTACATAAAGGCCACCACCACCCTCTTAAATATGCTAGACTGCATAGGTATTCAAGTTAAACAGCTTATACTTTTTGTGAACTATAGAATATCGATATCAATCCATAAAATTATAAAACGTTATTAGCTACGAACAAAAATTCTAATTTCAAGGTGTATAAGGGCCAAGCCTATTTTCGATATATATCAATAACCGAATATTTCGAACTAAACTCTGATAAAATAATATCCTCCTTTTTTCCGCAATTACAGTAGACAAGGTTTATATACATATTATGTGCACATCAAGATTATGTGCACATCAAGATTTATTATTATTATTAATATTAGATAGGGTTAATAAATGGCTCCAACAAAATATATTAACACTGAAGTGGCATTCCATCTTAGTCCTCACGGCTGACAACGCATCTGCTTTAGATTAATGATAGGTATTCGCGCGCTCAGACTAGATACCACCAGCGCTCTTGTAAAATGCAGCAATAAATACTACGCCGAAATCAGCGTACCCGAGCCAGTTGCGTTGCTGGCGATACATGATGTGGACCTACCGAATATTTTATTAAATTTTGATCATAATCCGAAATAAAATACCAGTTTGCCTAGTGAAAGTGTGTAAGATTAATACTACAAGAAATAAGAAAGACACTGCGATCACATACTATCAGTAAGAATCATACAATTTCGAAATTTCAACATAAAATAACACGAGCCATAAATAAGTTACAAAATATGAAAGACGCCATTCAGTGTTGCCGCGTATACAAAAATAAAGTTCCCCGTGGCTGAGATTTTTATATGTGAATTTATTGTTTTTTTTTTTAATTTATTCAGGACAAAAAACAGTTACATAATAATGCTTAAACCAAATAACATTTTATAAATAATATTAGTCATTATGTAAACAGCACCGTTATCCACAAAGTAATATTAAATTGGTAACAGTAAATAATAAATGCACAATAAACAGAGTAAAAAGGGAAAATAAAATAAAATTTACAGTATTCAGTAACATAAAAATCAAAATGAGACAAAAGGGAAAAAAAATTGCTAACAGTACAAATTTATCTTGTAAAATATTTTAAGATACTATTGAATGCCTTCCAACTTTCTTAGAACACTCTTCTGAAATTGTAACTGTGATGAGGTGAATAGATCAATATTTGAAAAATGCATGTTATATACTTTCCTAATACGTCTTAATGGGGCGCGTTCACCTGCATTGGTTTCACATAGTTTAGGCGCAAACAATTTATGTGTATACACGTCTCTAATGCGTTGAGAACGACTAGGGACACGGATATATATTTTGTTAAGTATATTCTGCTTGCTTTTAAAGTATGAATTGAAAACTTTTTTTAATAAGTTGCGATACGATGATTTAGCGTGGTAACATTTATAATTTATAAAACGAAGAAACTTTGCTTCTTATGATTCTAGAAGTTCACCGTATTTATTATAATAGGGATTCCATACTTGCGTTGCATATTCAATTTGTGGTCTGATAAGTGATTTGAAAAGTAGTAAATAAAATGAGGAGCTTTTAAAAAAATTACACGTTCCTGCAATAATTCCGTACATTTGATACGCTTTATTTGTTACACGGCTGATATGAGCATTAAAGGTTAGATTTGAACCATAAAGGATGCCTAAATCTTTTATTAATGATACTTTTTCTAAAGGACTGTTAAGAAGGGAATATATGTAATTTTAGGTTTTAACGTTTTTGGTGAAAGAAATAGATTTACATTTAGGGATGCTTAATTGCAATTTATTGATTAGACAGTAGTTAGATAACCGGTCAAGATCTTCCTGTAGCTTCTCACAATCATTAAGGGACTTTACATTTCGATAAACTGTGGTCATCTGCATATAACAAAAAATTACTATTTATAAAACAAGACTGAATATCATTTATATACAATGTGAAGAGCATCGGACCTAGTATAGATCCGATAGATGTGGTACACCTGAGGATACTAATTTTTCGCTAGAGGAGAATCCGCTAACCACAACTTTTTGGGTCCTATTAATAATGTACGAAGAGAACCACCGCAATAAGTTTCCACGTATACCATTGAACTCAAGTTTTTGAAGAAGGATGGAATGATCCACCTTATCAAAGGCTTTACAAAAGTCTGTGTAAACAGTATCAGTTTGTATTCGATTGTCCATATTATCAAACAGAAAGTTTGTATATAAAATAAGATTACTGATGGTCGATCGGTGTTT